TCAAAGCATTTTTACTGCTACAAAAAGTAATAACAAAAAAAAACATATAATTTTAAAATTAATACATTTTTCGCTCAGAATCTATCATGAAATATCATTTATACCACTTATTTATTTAGTTATGTGCAGCTAAATTAAGTTTTACACGTATTTTTACTTGATATTATTATTTTATCAATTGAAATTTTATTTTCAGGTGAATTTTGTTATTTGTCAACTTACAGCATTATGTATAGCGCCGTTAATGTATACATTTTTGCCACCAAAAAATCAACAATATGTATTTCTTCGAGAAATATTTGGACTTACAATTGGATTGTCCATGGCTTACATCTGTTTTGGATAGTAATATACTTTTTTACAATACAATAAATATATTGCGTCCAATCTATGTTATATTAAAATTTAACATACCTAATATAATGAAACAATAAGTCAATAAAACTGTTATGTTATTTTTTTTATCTATTTGAAATAGTATTTGAACATAAGTGAATGTTATACCTGCAGGTGATGCAAACATGTTATTCATTATGTATTTTGTGTTCAGCAGAATCAATTTAATTTAGTGATGTATCTTTTATATTAGAGTGAATTGACTTATTAATAATCTTAAAAGTAACAACATTATCTGCATTTGTATTTTACAATATTTTAATCTTTGAATACATTTTAAGCATTTTTAAATCTTAATAGTTTGTTTACTCACAATTTGCTTAAAAAATGGAATATTGTACAAACTTACATTCGACTATTTAAACACAGATAAGGTTTTTAATTACTAAGTTTAACAACCAGTCAATTCACTATAATATTAAAGCTATCAACACAAAATTGGTTCTGTTAAATGTAAATTTTGCTAATTTATTTGTTTGTAAGACAGAAACAACAAATGGTATAGTGTCCTCTTTAACAGTTGTCGATTGTTCATACAATATTTTATTTTGAATAACATTTTCATAGATTATAGTTAATATCCTAATTTTGGAAATTTTAAACTTTAAATTATAACTACTTAGTATTCTTTTACATATTTCCATTAACAAATCTGCTACTCATTTTTATTTACTAATTTGAACTAATGATTATTTCTATCATGTTGCACCTTATAATTTTATCAAATATTTATAAAATAAAAAATACTACCATCATAAACTATTAAAACAAAGCACTAAACATGAAAAGTTTAGTACCTTGATATAATTTGTTTAGTATTTTAAGTTATAAAATTTAATATTGAGTGATATCTAATTATAGATTCTGAATCCTTGTTTTTTTTTTCAGTCAAATGTTACATCTTATTATTCTACCAACAATATGTTATGTTACTTTACAAACATTAAGTCCAAATATGATACATAAGTAATTATAACATAAAGTTATTATGGAAGTTTTGTATTAACTTTAAAACATGCTTAATTCTTATTTCTTTTAGGGCTGTTTTACTTATATGTTGTTTGTACTTATCACTATTACATATTTATCGTCAAGTTTATGAGTATGGATCTTATACCTTGGATATTACAGGTAACTTATATAAAAAATAATATTTTATTGTCATGTATTGTCTTTACTTTGGTTACATGTGGAAAAAAACTAGTAATTTTTATTATTCATACATTTTTAGTTAAAATTCACTAGAATGTTGATAATATTTTTAAAATTGTTTACAACATTTGATTCTTATAACCTTTAATCTAATGAACCTTTGTTTTTTTTCTAAAATACCTATTCAATCATTTAATTATCTAAACAATAAAGTTTTTGAACATTCCAGAGATTAAATTTATAAAGTATGCCAACTGTCAATTAAGTCCTGCGATGAGCTAGTAAAATGTTAGCGAAAGAAAATAAAACATAGTATAATGTATATTAGGAAAATACTTGAATTACACAGATTTAAAAATATCTTAATATATTTTTTTAATTCAAAATAAAGTAGTTGTATTGATTTTTCAGGTCCAGTAATGGTTATGGTACAAAAATTATCAGCATTAGCATGTGGCTTACACGATGGCCTTATGGCTGACAAGAAACAGTTAACAGATATTCAAAATCGTTACAAGATTAGGTTAAATATTTTGTATTTAATTTTTCTTGTAATATGTTTAATTAATTAACTAAAGTTAATATAAATTGTTTTCTTATAGAAAAGCACCAACACTTCTTCAATACATAAGCTACTTATTAACATTTCAAACAATTTTAGCTGGGCCCAATGCTTTTTTTGAAGATTATATAGCCTATTTAGATGGTACCAATTTTCCAAAAAAATTACCAAAAGAGGCAAGTATCTATATTTTTTTATTATTATTTGGTATTTTTGTTTTATAAACTTATTTTGTTTAGGCTAAATCACCTCCATCTCCTTTAAAGCCTGTATTGAAAAAAGTAATAATTACATTCATATGTGCTCTTGTGATTTACTTCATTGTACCAATGTACCCAGCTTCTACATTGATGGGTTTGTAACTATTTTTATTTTTATACTTTGCGCCACGAGAGATGTAGCCTGTGTCCTGACCAATTCGCGTTGGAAACTGCGCATTCCCCACATATTTGACATATCAACGTTGTACTATTACTATTGCTAATGATTGTACATTGAATTACACGAGTGGGGGAAAATAAGGCCTCGTAACAGTCTCTGCCGTTAGTCTGCATGTTCAAACAGATTACTTCTCTTGTGGCATAGAGTATAACTATTTATATTTTTCAATATTTATTGTATCTGGCTATCTTTTCTACTTTTACTTGGTCGGTTTCTTGATAATTAAGGCTCAGAAGTTATTGCAGCGATGCATGTATATAATTAATTGCGATATTGCTCTAAAAAAACTTCAAAATTGCACTACATTTTTTTTTTTTACAATCCAAAAGAAAAGTACTTGTATTTAAATATCATTCATTTTTGTTCATAAAAATACATGTTCATTGGCTAATATACCTATAACATAGATGGATTTTATTCTATTTTTCAAAATCATATGTATTGATAAATTGCCAAAAAAACTACAATTTAACCAAAAAATGTTCAAAATTCATGAATAAAATGTTATAAACATAAAGCAGCTTTGTAGCATAACAATACAATTAACTGACAGAAAACAGTGCAGAAAATGTAATAACTTCCTAGCCCTAGTGTTTATATTAAATTAACAAATTTATATGTAGTCCGTCTAAAAGTTTTTGAATGTTATAAAGAAAATGAAATTGTATTTGGTTTTTTTCAGATGAAAAATTTTTGTATGAATCTCCATTTTACTCAAAAATTTGGTTCATTATAGTTATAACATCTTTAACTCGTTTCAAGTATTATTTTGCTTGGACTTTAGCTGATGCAGTTTGCAATGCTTCTGGTTTTGGATTTTCTGGTTACAATGAGAAGGGCGAACAAGAATGGAATCTACTTGATAATATCGATATTTTAGGAGTTGAAGTATGCACTAGTATTCAAATTTAATTATAAATACTTCTATATCATACATTCAACTATTCTCTAAGTGTTCACTTTTATAATATTTATAAAAATCTGTCAACATTTTGTTTAGTTTGGTGTTAACTTCAGAGCTACTATTGATGCCTGGAACAAAGGCACAAATCTGTGGCTTCGTTATGTTATGTACGAAAGGGCATCTCCTAAATATAATACTGTTATGACATACACTTTATCTGCATTTTGGCATGGTTTCTACCCGGGTTATTATGTGACCTTCCTTACTGGATCATTATTTACGAATAGCGCAAGAATGGTAATTATATAAAAACCGTCTGTTAATATTAATTATGAAATAAACATGTTCTGTTTATTATTTTAGGTTCGAAGATGTTTATGGCACAGGTTCCAGGAACCTAAACCTGCAAAACTCGCTTACGACTTTGTAACATGTTTCTTGACAAGACTTTGTTTGTCCTACATGACATTTTCCTTCATACTCTTAGAGCTTATGCCTGCATTGCGTGTCTTTTGGTAAGAAATTTACATTTATTCATATTTATATACACATGTTATTGTTTACAAATGACTTAATAAAATGTATTTGGTGTTATTTTTTATCGTAGAAGATTATATTAAATTTATTTTGAAAAATATTGATATTTCAATTTTACAAGTGTCAAATTTCAGTTTCATTGTTTAAAAAAAAAAATATTTGTAAATCGCTTGAAATTTAAAATCATCACATATTTTTTTTTTTCCAGGCATCTCATGTTTTATCTGCACATATTAGCTGCATTGGGCATTTATGTACTACCATTAATCGTAACTCCGCTCAAAACAGTCAAGAAAAAATCACAATAATTGTATGTTAACGGTTATAGCTAGCAACTATAATCTTTATGAATTCGATCATTAAAAGACTGTATGTGTGGTAAATCAAAACTTTTAATTTATGAAGTTAAATTAATTAAAAATCTCATTGGAAAAAAAATAAAGATAATGTCAAGGAAGTTTATTAGGGAATTAAGGATAGTAAACTATATAATATGATTTTAACATAGTATGTAATTTATTATGTTGTATACTTGTATGCATAACATTAAAGGTCATGTTGGATGAGCGGGATAAAGAAACGCATGGAACTTATATTAATGAATGTTTGCTAAACGTCAAAACACATTTTAAAAAGTCACACTGATAAGATGGTTGAAACGAGTTCTGGCATTATTCTAGCTCAGCCACAATGGTATTATGATGAGGGAACATGCTTTTGATTAAATTTTTATGCACTACATGTGGTTATAAGTGTTTTGCTCATAATTTTCATTAGACTACTAAAAATATAAATCACAAATCTTAATAGTAAAAACTATAAAATTACTAATTTTAAATTTGTTGTACTTGTTCAATTATTTTACTGTATAAAACAATATAATATAGTAATAGTATTTGATTAATTTTGTTCAATTTTTAATTTTACAAATTATTGTTTATTATTCAAACAAATAAAATATGTATAGGATAAAATCAATATTTATTTGTTTTTTTTTTTTAATGCTAATTTTATAACACAATTATGATATGAGTTTTGCTTTGTATTTTTATAACAATATACATTTTTTCAGTAAACTGTAGAGTTGCAGGATTCATCTAGCATAAAGAATTATTAATATGTTTTGATGTTTCTGAAAGCTTTCTTTACTATAGGTTTGTTTTGTTGTAATGTACTATTAAACATTATGTTAGTGGTAAAAAACAAACAAAAAAGTTTTATTAGATTAACATTTATGCATTTTCTTTACATTTTGTATTGGATTTGTGATTGCAGTATTCTAAATCTGAATTTTCATACAAAAATTGATGTTGAAATTTTAAAGCTTCAAGTCCATAACTAGTCCAGTTGGGTATTAGATACCTGGCAAATAGTTCTAAACATTTTGGTGTTGGAGGTAAATAAGGAACTAATATTTCTAAAATAAAAACAAAACACATATATTTATAATATAATTAACACAGTATAAGATAAAATTGTTAGTCTTAAGCCTACAATTAGGAGGAAACTTCATGCTATTTTGGTCCTTCCCCGTGTAGCTGTATAAAAATTCAAAAACAAAAATGGCATACAAATACAATAAGAAAATAAGATGGATAATAATTATTGTGGTAAATAATTTTTGATAAGTCATATAAGCAATTAATTACAAAGTACAATGAACTCAAAGAAAATGAGATTTACTTTTAAATTTTTCTGATATTTTCCTATAATACTTTTTATAGTTCATTAATTTCTATTATTATATCTTAAAATAAATCTAATTGATAGTTTTGTTAAAACTTGAATATTAGTTATTAAAGTGTATTATATTTTTCTAAGACCACTGAAAAAATGTAAAGAATTAAAAGTTGAAGAAATGAACACTAAATGTTGGAATTGCATAGACCATAGTACATGGTCGTAGATTGTTGATTTTTAGTTTGTATGTGGTCAATATTTTTGTCAAATCTGGCCCGGTTTATGAATATACATGATGAGTGTTATTACTGAAGAGTATTAAGTAACAATAAAGAAATTATTAATCATGTTCTTACCAGATAGGGGGGGTTTATGTGAATGCACTGAACTTGGAATACTTGCAATGAACTTATGTTCTTCAGGATTTTTTATTTTAGTATCACAGTCTATTTTCCTTCCAAAAAATATACGTTCGTAAGGCTGTTTGCCAGTTCCTGGAGCAAAATTACAAACAAAATCTCCACATTCTGTTACCTAAAGTACATATCAAAATTAGTATACATCGTTGGTTAATGATTTCAATAACAGTATCAACAATTGTTATTTGTATGCATTTTCTAACAACCAAAACTGGATAGAACTATATTATCTTTTTTTTGTCTAAAATTATTTTTAGTAAGTTATCAACACTTAATACCTTTATCCAGTACCAACAGGCCACATATTTTAAGTTCCATATTGGAAATAATATAGACTTTAATGAGTCTATATGATTTTGAGAATTTGTACACCACACGCAGACCAAACCGTTAGAAGTTAGGTACTCATTTATAGGTAATTGGGCCAAATCCTGATCAACCATCATTGTATACCTAAGAGCATAATATAAATGTTATAACTTTATTTAATGTGTACAGTTTATTTCAATTAATTCTGTACCCTTCATCTCGTTTAATTTTCTTCTTTCTTTTTATGTATTTATTTGTCCATGGCGGGTCTAACAAAATCAGGTCAAATTTTTGGTCTCCGAGATTTTTCATGTTGAAAACATTGTCACAATAAAACTGACATTTCGGAGGGAATACATAGCCATTAGCTGTATGTAAGTGTGGATTTGGATTTTGACCGTAAAATGTTTTCAATGCACTAGTGCTTTCATAGAACTTTATAGATGCATTTCTAGCACAATTATTATTATCCAAAATCTTTGGCAATATTGAAAATAAGCCCGTCTGATTTTTTAAATTCAATATAAAAGTTTTGATTCTTTTACTTATTTCGTCTTCCTAAAAATAGTTTTGGATTAGGTTAGGTAAGGTAAAATTTGGAGGTGATAAATACCAAAAGTTACTTCGAACAATTCAGATATAACAATATGCGGTACTATAATACCAAGACTTATTTTCTACTCGCAAACATTGCATACCTCAAGTGGTGGCCGCTTTCTCTTACGTTTCACGACATTAGTTTCCACGCTAGTTTCTACTTGCTGTTTGTCTCTGACAAATGGATTGTTTATATGAAAGAAATGTTCGTATAGATGAACAGAGTTTTCGGTTTTGTTCAAAATTGTATCGTACAACTTTGAAATAAACGTTTGATGCGATATGAAGAAACCATCGTCATCGCTGTACAAAATGCTCATTTTGTAGGTTGTGAGTGCAATTTAAAGACCAATATATCGAAGTGAAAAGTTCGGAACTAGCACCTGAGATTTAAATTTTAAACATTGCAAATTGCAACCAACAGTCGTTTTTTCAATGTTAGTTGTTACGAATTACAATTTGAAATATTTAAAATGCTGTTATCATAATAACGCCGACAGTCTTGTTGGGTGATAACAGTGATAATAATATGGTGATAATATCATGCTATCATGGAGTAACAACTTCCTTCAACTGTAGAAAACGGAAAAACGTTGTTATCACGAGTGATACCGAGAATTCCAGTCCAGGGCGTCAATTATTATTATTGGTCCACTTGTCCAGTAAGTTATTGTTTTGTTTACATGAATGCTAATTAGTCATAAGAATTTAACAATCACGATCACTTCTCACGTTGACTGGACCGACGTAGCAAGGCGTCGCTGAATCAGGGACAAATGTCTGAAATCGGATACCAGACCGTCAACAATTATTAAAACAGGTGAGTTCGTTGTTCGTTCATCGCTCATAATTTTTTGTTCTTTGATTGGTTGAAAACTTTTCGTTTCCCCTACAGAATGTCAGTGGTTTTAGATGACAAGACAGAGTTTATGACAAACCCTTATTACGATCAACACGAACCGAGCAACTATCAAACTTTCTACGTCACTCTCGCTGTGTGTACGTTGTTTGCCTTTGCACTGCTTGTTGTAAACTTGTTTCTGTGTTGCTTTTCCAAGCACAGACATTACTGGAGAAACAGTGAAACAGGTGAGTAGGTGCTCAGTCGTTGGGTTTATATCGTTTTATTTGTTTTTTTAATTGATATTTATTTGCTTACATGCAGGTAATCGTTACATACTGCCGATTTGGATCAAGACACCCGCAAAACAAGCTCCACTTGATCTGAAAGAGTTGGAAACAAACTTTTCTAAACCAAAACCAGTTTACGACTCAGGGGTTCCTCAAGAATTCGTCGAGCTCCACAAGAAAGAAAGTGACATTTGAACAAAACAATGATTCACATATTTTCACCGTTGTTACTGTTGCTGGCCATGTTTGTACTGTTTGTAATCATTGCCATTGTAAGGTATGGAGAGCGATTCTGTTCAGTACATAGGGACCCCATCAACTACAATAATTACAATGACGAATATGTAGAACAAGTATCTTACGCTTAATTCAATTTTAATTCTTAAACCCCTATAGCCTTAAATAATTATGGGTTAGTTTTACTTAATTTTGACAGTTTATAAAATAATTTTCCCTATGCACAACATTTTTTATGTTGTGCAATCACTTTAGAACAAAATACAGTTAACTTTGATGATTTTAAGTAAATAATTTGAGGTTAATTATAATAATTAAATTTTATTTATTTTATACTGTGCTAGTGATTTTTTATTACTTTAATTACTAAACAAATGTTATTCAGACCAATAATTGATAAAATATAGTATTATTTTATATATCTTAATATGCACTCAAAAATTCTATACATTTAAACAAATTAATTGTATTAATATTATTTAAATAGGTATAGTATGATGGAAAAATATTTATGCCGAATTAAAAGTGTTCACTATTTTTTTAAGTTAACAAACAGGAATAAGTCTTATATTTTGAATTGTTTCCAACAATATTGCCTTTAATTGAACCTTTATTTTTTTTAAATTATTACTCATTGGTTATTATGTAGTATGCATAATTTCTGGATACTTAAGTTCATAGCTAGATTTAAATACTTTTTGAAATGTTAAAAATAGAAAATTTATTCTCCCATCATTTTAAAATAAGTTTTTTTTTTAAATGTTTAAAGTTTAAGTTTAATTTTTTAATTTTATATACTCTATTCATCTAAGAACTATATTCGTCAGCAATCTTTTTTTGTGTAGCGGCAATACCCGTTTGGTACTCTACCGAGTCAACCATCTGTACTGCCGTGTAATAATGTTACATACATGGTGGCAGCTTTGTATGGTTCTTAACTTGAATAGAGTATAGTTTATTACTAACAATTCCGTCCATATTGTGATCCAATATAATTATAGGTTATTGTATGACTTTTGGATGACTGTAAAGTAACGCTTACACAATGGTATTATAATTCTAAGACTTTACATACATATTATATGTTTAATATTTTTTTTAACAATATTTTTATTTGATAAAATAAGATAAGTTGAATATAAAAACATAATATTCATAACTGTAGACTTATGTCTAGTTTTATATATATCAATATTGTCCCCAAGGAGTTTTTGAATCTCAACAGTCACCCAATAAGTTAAAACATTTGTAATCATTGTATTCAATTGCAGTTTTATTTTTTACAAATCATATTTTATAATAAACTTTTTTTAAACAAAATTTATATGTGTGAGCTGTTATTATTTTAATTTAAAAATGATCGACAATCCATGTCACCTAAGAGTTTTGACTAAATATTTAGTTCTAATTTTCATAAGAATCGCTATACATAAAATAATTAAATGATTAAACTATTTCTGTTCTTATTACTCAAATGAATGTAATTTTATTATATTGTACCTCCAAAGTTTATTGAGCTTGTTCTTCATTTTAGAATCATATATAACTTCATACAAATATTATGCCAATTAAAAAAACTCAAAAATTGAATGTAGCAATAAGTATTTTGCTAATCTCAAAGATACTTTAGGAAATATTATGAATTTTCTGTAACGAATTAAAATAAAAAACAAAGGAAATGTTTTTTACTTAAGTACATAATATCATGGTTGTAATATGTTTGGTACATGAAATATGTGATATCATAGTGTGTGTATAAAATAATAATTTATGAATATCATAATCCAGGGTATGGATTTGGCAGCGGTACGCGAGTATACCAGTGGCCGACGTCCGTTTGAAGCGGATAAAAAAAATTAAAATATCAATTAAATAATCCGTCTGCATAATAATTATTGTTACGACAAAAAAAAAACCCCTCCGAACAAACAAAGGCTCGTCGAGGGCTTTTCGATTCGACTATAATAATATGCATGATATTCAGTGACGACGACTTGTTCGGGGTTACCTTGGGATTAATAACAAAAATACAAAATACGGTACTGTAATAACTGACCGCAGGTAAATACAAACAGAGCAATGTCCAACTGTCCTACCTAAATAATAAATGTATAATTTATAATGTATACCCGTCGAATTATAATACGTTGACGTAAATTGGGTATATTGAAATAAATTGTTTCAGGCACAATAATAATAATAATAATAATAATAATAATAATAATAATAATAATAACTGCAAGTACCTACTGAAGCACAATACCTAATAAACATTCACTTTAGTCATGACCTATGTGTTGGATTGGGCACCGGTGAAGATCGGATCATAAAACACTGGCGATTAGTGGAGACTGCATAATAATAGTAACGATAATAATATTTTTCTTTTTTTTTGTTATCTACGTCGTTTTCAAAGAAGGATTAATGAATTTGTAAGTCTAGTCAATGTAATTTCAGGGAAATTTTCTAGTATTTGGATTATTGAATTATATTTAAATATTAATTAAATCATTTGTTCATTTTTATTGATTGTCATTGTTGTATATAATTGTTTAATATTTTAACTTTTAATTTTTTTCTGGTTTGGGGGAAATTTTCTAGTTTGGTGGGGGGGGGGGGAGAAAAGGCATAGAAGGGAAACGCTCTAGATTCATTGTTTCTACAAACATTGTGTAAAACTGATAAACTAATAGAGATAAAATCTAACCAATTTTTTTTCAGTTACAGCACTTGCTTAGAGGCTCGTCGTTACAATGTTATCGTTCAAATTACCGTCAGCCTAGAGTTATCACTGTCAGTGAATTTTGGTTTCTGCGATTTATATTATTCATGAGGTCTCTAGGTATACAGTTTCTTTTAATTGTGGACTCGACAGCTCGGGATCAACAAAAAGAGTTATTACCGTTTAGCTACATTTTCCCGAACCCAGTAAAAAAAATAACACTCAAGACTCAGCTCACTGTCTGTAATCGGTGCAATTTCTTCACTTATATTAATTATTCTTTAGAGTTTAGGCCGTTTAGGGGATGCCGGCACACTATGTTTGTTTTCTCTTAAACTCTGACCCATGTGCACCATACTATATTATTTGCGTTCAGCATTATCAATCTTGTGTCATTTACTCAATTGGTTTGAATTGTAATTTTACAGATTGAACTATTATCAATATAATATGTTAATGTCAAGAACTTGACAAAAAAAAAAAAACGAACGAAACGTGAAAAACAAGAATGTTTGTACTTTGGCTATTTTACGATACTACAATCTGTACGGGACTATAGAAGTTATTACAAGTATACTAGTGGAAAATATTAAATATTCCAATGTAAAAATGTTCGTATATTGCAGAAAAATGTAACTATCCTAAAACGCCAACATATACAAATACAGATAATGTTTAAAAATAGGTCAATTCATTCCAATGTTAAAGCCAACAACACAAGATTGGTTTAGCAGCAGCTGCTGAACGAAAATTCGTTATCTACATAATATTAATATATATACGTGAGTCAGAGAGAAAGACTCGCGCTGATATCCTCTAAATACTGATAAATATTTTTAATATTAATGATCGTTAAACCTAAATTTAATCTTCTATATAGGTTTATAGTTGAAGTGTCAAGTTGACTCCACGTAAACACCGTAAAAATGTTGCACGAACCGCGAAATACTTGCTGGCTACTGTTGAATTTAGATATAGTCACCCGACACCCACTTACCAGGTACCTACCTACGTCTTACTTACCTATATACATATAACATATATATAATACGAATATGTTATGTGGCGCTAGAGTCTAAAAAAATTCATAAATGTTATGAAATATTGTTAAGATTGCTATCACAAAACATTTAACATCTCTCACCCAGTCGCCTCCAAATTTTTCTCCACGTGTTAACTCCCCACCACGATATGGATTGTCTCATCGCTATATAAATGTCTATGACTGTAGCTTATAGTTCAAAATAAAATTGAATTCAACAAGGATTCAAGTGTAGAATATAATATTATAGCCAATAGCATAGAGCTATAACACCACAGAGGTTTAGACTATAGAATGTATGTATATATAAATGGAAAATTAACGCAAATCAGCACGTCTTATAAATTAGCATATTTCATGGCTCTTGCATAAGTACTATTAATAACCACATGGTCGTATTTAGGGTAGTGCATTATTAGTGTTAGGGTTGAATTCCCAAACGGTTATAATAGTTCCAAGAATAATATTTCGACTGCGTTCACTATTATACGTATGTACAAATTTGAAACTACCAACGCCTATATACAGAGCGGTTCACCAAGCATTCTCACTCCCATTTATTCCTTTAATAATGAAATTATTCAAATTCTCGAACTTTTTGTACTACTTAAGAGTTAAGGAGTGTTATGTGGTGATACAAACTATTATTTTTCAAATGTGATCCCCCCCCTTCATTTACTTTGTATTAATTAGTGGATATTTTTTTGAAAATTTTGATGTACAACATACAAAATTCGAATGAGTAGTTATTATAATGTTTGTTTTAAAAGAAGTAGTCCTTAAAACTAGTTTTACATAGTTCAATATAAAACATACGTACAATTGGATCTAGTATTTATTATACTTGGGTAATTTTTACAAATTATTAATATCGATGGATTCACTATAATGCTTAACGACTACAATTTTCAAATCACCATAGCCCCCATATCTTATAAACTCATTTTTATGGGTTACTATGCATTACTATTACTAGTACTACTATAACCTTTTATTATTAGAAATCAAAGTTAAATAACTCAAAAACTACTCGTACGAATTTTGATTTTGATTCTTAAAAAATTTTAGAAAAACAGAAGTTTGTATCTCCACGGGACACTTTTTAAGTAGTACAAAAAATCTTAAGAATTTGAAAATAATATTGTCTTTGGGTATATTTAAAAATTAAAAAAAATCAGATTTTGAATAACTCCATTACTGAAGAAAAGAAGGGGTGAGCATGCTTGGTGAATCACTCTGTATTAGGTGAATTTTATTTGTTTTTACCATCGAATTTAATTCATACCTATAAATCATATTTTTTTATGTATGGGGTATTCCTAATGATAGATAATTAATATGATTAATGATGTACGTGTCACGTGTGATATCAAAAAACGATCAGAATAACGAGATTATGTATACCAACTGTTTCGTAATTTTTTTTATTAATTGAACAGTATCATATTATACATTTATACTTATTTGACTTGTTACAGTTTGCCGAAAGACACTATTGCCTCTTTAACATTGAGACTTGGAGGTTAAAATCGATATCTCAAAATTTGGTCACTTGCTCTTTTCTCTAGCGCAGTCAGTGCCGCATTAAGCCAAATTGGCGCCCGGGCCGGGGGTAATATAAAATTTTCCACATCATCTACATATTTTTAAAAAATATCATATGATTTTCACTTCTCTTTTTTCCCTATCACAAACATAGCTGAAAAATATTTTAATACGTTTCTTCATTAGTTTTAAAATATTAAAGAGTATAATATATTAATATTATATTATTTAAAAAATTTAATACGAAATTCGTAGTGGAGAACGTATAATATTATAATATGATGTATTTTCTAAGAATTTTTCTCCCCTCAAATCACCTTAAAATTGCCGGCCTGGGGCGATTGCCCCCCGTTAAATGCGGCTCTGAGCGCAGTCGATCACCTTTATAAATAAAGCCAATATAATATAGTTGTATTTATGCAATTGTATACGACTATTGAGCAACGTCTTTCAGATTGCCATTTAATAGTTTCACAATTAAATTGATGCGTGTAGCCGTGTAAGCATTTTAATGTTTTAAAGTGCACATAATTCCAAGCCAGAGATATATTATATTCATCGACATCGACCGTCGTTATCATATAACAATAAATTAAAACGATATAGGTACTCGATTGTGTAAAATAAATAATATTTTATCATTCCATTGTTTATTTCCAACAAAATTATGAGTACAGGACGCCATCAAGTGACTATACCTAGGTAGCTTAGGTACCTATTCTGTAATAATAATTACAATGCTGCGGCCGCCAGAAAAAACACTAATGAGTCTCAATAGCGTTGGGAATAAAAAAAATGTACTTTGTATGTACATCTATATACGGGGTGATCCATTCAACACGTTATACGTCTTATAGACCCTCAATATTTCAGAAATCGCTATAACGTTTTTAAAAATATTTCTTTTACATAATTTTAAGTCGTTACCAAACAATTTTTTGAATAAAATTACCGTTATTTTTTTTTAAGTTGTATACTCTTTATCTTTATAGAATGCCAATATCAAATGTT